CATATAGACATAAAAGAGGTATCAGTGGGGTGCCCGGTTAGCTCAGTGGGTAGAGCCCCCCTTTCCTGTCTGTCTTCAGCTGTCACTATCATAAAGGCCATAAAAGCCCCCCCAAAAAAAAGAGGTATCAATCTCATTCAGTTCTCAGCAAGAAAGTGAATCATCATTTTTCTCAATTTGGTGAAGTACGCCTTTAAGAAGGACAGTGGTTGCCGAACTCAGAAGTGGGTGCCTATGATCACAGGGAAAAATGTCAGTTGGTGAAATCAAAGTTTATCTTCTTGTCAGTTTGCAGGTGTTGGCTGAGACAGTTGCTCACCGGGTTGGTGGTACTCGTAGCATTTTGTTTTCTTGCAGCCGAAGCCATCCAGTTAGGTCTGTGCAAGCAGCTTCTATGTGACACTGCTGACCGCTCTCTACTCTAGCTGCTTGAGCTAACATTCACTTCACAGACTTACAATTATTTTCCAACAGGAAGTGAAAGTTAGAAGTGGATGGATAATTTTCTAGAGAGGCTGCAGCAGATAATATGCGTATAATTAATAGTTCATAAAAAAAACACTGCTCAATTTTCTGCTACGTTGGATTTGTTACATTAAGACATTTTCATACTTACTTTGCATGTCAGTGTTTATGCTCCAACACTTATAATGGCATAAAAAAATTTTAATTGTTTTAATACAATGTTCTAATTTAGCTGGAGAGCCCCTGAATGACAGACACTCAGTTAAAACTAATTATATCAGTTAGAGAAAAACCATCACTGCCTGTGAAAAGTTACAGCACTGTGTGCTCTGATACCTTCTCAATTTAATATCGTCCTCAACAGAAGACTGCCAAGGATTTACTTAGTGTGATTTATTTAAATGGGAAAGCGAGCTGGCTCATACAGGCAGTTTATTAATTTCATAATGTGCTCTGTGAGCTTATGGCAGATATTGAATGTGTATTTTGGATGCTTTAAGTGCCAAGCAGGAATTAATCAAGGGCAAGTTGATTTTGGGTGTTTCCTTTCATTTTTTGTAAACTGGCTTTTTATGATCTATATCAAACATGCAGAGGTGGAGATCAGTGTCAAGAGCTGTAGGATTTGAAGTAATGTAAAGTAATGTGCATGATGTTTAGTGTTTATACATGCTATTGAATAAATTCCAAAGCACAACTCGAGGCTTGAAAATACACACATAGCTGATACAATAAGCTGCTGCCCTTGGCTCAAATTTCATGCACTTGGACAGAAAAATCAGACAACAATGCTTTCAAATCTAATTGCAGCGAAGTAAATGCAACAAATTTGTCTGGCATTTATTTTTCTGATATGCTGTGGCAAGATCACAACCCAGAGGTCGAGAGGCATTAGGTTAAAATATAAGTAAACCACAAAATTCTGCAAGCTTTTAGGGTGGAGTATCTCTCTAAGTGATTAAGACTAAAAGGTTTTTCTTCTTCTTTTTTTAAATGTATTTAATTTGTCTCCTCATACTAAAAAAAGTTGAGAGAAAAAAAGCAGAAAATACTAACTGAGAATATCCTCAGGATTAATTTTGTAGTCCAGCTCAACAGGGAACAACAGACACTGAGTTATCTGCTGTGCCCATATCACAAACCCTTGGCTCTGATGCAGCAGCGGCTTCGTTACCCATCGATTGCCAGTGTAGACATCTGACTGGATACTCCCCCAGAGGCACAGCAGGATAAATAATTTAATGGGAAGCTTGGAATATACGAGGAATATTTATAGGGGAGATGTAGTGAGTGACCGTCCCATTATCCAGCCACTCCCTGCTTCTGTTTCTCACACACACACACACACACACACACACACACACACACACACACACACACACACACACACACAGCCAAATGTGAGGAAAACTTGGAATATTATATTGAAGCAATGAGGTCATACAGCTGACTGGTTACAGGCTCATGGGAGGGAGACAGGGTGATTAGTAATTGGAAAAAAATATGAAATGTAAATATTAACATGTCTTTAATAAAGGTGGGAAAGAATATTGATGGGGTTTTAACGTGATGAGTTTTTGCTGGAGTTAATCATGTTTGCTGAAATGGACAACTAATTAGATGAGAGCGAACCGAAATAATTTCTTAGAAAGCCCAGGGACAGATTATTTTTCTCCAAACAGGAGGTGGAAAGAGCATTGGGCTATTGAGCCAGACTGGAAACTGGAAGAGACTGATGGATGTTGTGAAAACAATCCTCTACTATACCTTATAGTAAGATTGCTATGCAAGAGTCATTTTGAAAGAAATAAAAGAATCACCGGAGTCAGAAACAACTCAAAGGAAATCCTTTGATGACAGATGTTCTCATATCAGCGATCCAGACGAAACCGAGAAGCTGATGGAAGCTGTATTTTCTTAAAGTAAATCAAACAAAGACACTGTTGAAGCATTTTATCATCTCTGCAGTCACAGCACACTTGCTCAAAAGCCAAGAGCCTGTACTGTAAATAACTGAATAACGGAGGACAGGAAGAAGGAAAGAATAGAGACAGAAAAACTGATGGATGGAGAGAAGGAAGGACAAGCTAATGTCACGAGATCCTGGAAATACCTAGAATTTATTCGACATGTCTAAATAACTGATCAATGTCTCTCCATGTGAAGTGTTCTCGGAAAGTTGTTCCCAACCTGTGGGTCGGAACCTCCTAAGGGGTCGCTGGATAAATCTAAAGGAGTTGCATGATGATTAACAAGATAGAAAATAAGAAATTAACTTAAATTAACATTACTACCTGTAAAACCACAATGTGACGTTTGTTATCCTTGGACCCAGGCTAGCTGTTTCCAGTCTTTATTCTAAGCTAAGCTAACCAGCTGCTGGCTCTCATCCACGTCTGATGGAATAGCAGGACAGCAAAATGGAGCACTGTATACGTTATGTTGCTATGGCGAGGTTTTATTGTTTACAAAAAAATGGAATCAAATATACTCATTGTCCAGATAGCCCATGAATTGTGCTTGTGTGAAGGACCTACATAACATCCATCTACTAGGGCTGCACAGTTCACCGAAATAATAGCGGAATACAGCCAAGGGCAATATCCAAACCACAGAAGCTGCAATTTGTTTTGAGTGATTGCAGTCTGCAACTACACCGCTAGATGTCACAAAATCCTACGCACTGGACCTTTACACAAAAAAGGGCCAATTGAAAGTAAGAAGCCATATACTCTATGCTTCTTGATAACATTAACGTATAGCATTTATATGTTGGTGTTTTGGCCTGTTTTTTCTAGCTGTGTTGTTGCCACTTCTCTACTTATTTTCAGTGGGATTGATGGGATAAATGTTGTGACTAAATGTAACTAAAATTGTAATGTATTTTGTCATAGTTTAGTTCTTCTTTTGTCTTAAAATTTTTTGTCTTCGTTTTCTTCAAAATGTGTGACAAATAGCATTGTAATGAAGTACTGTAGTGCTGCAAAGATGCCCTGGCCTGCAAATCTGTGTTTGGTTGGTAAATACCGCATTAAATGTCACATCATCATAACCACGGACACACATATTGGACAGCCTCTCTGAGTCTAACTAGCTTAGCTACAGCACAGGTACCACATGGATGGCTGTGAATGTGCTTCTAGTGACTGTAGAAGCTCCAGCGGTCTCTCTGTGTGTCCAGCGTGGACACAGATGGTCTGACAGCCACTGCTTATGGTTGGCTATCTCTGACTACCAGCTTGCTGTTTGAGTCTTTTCAATGAATCTGAAAATTGTGATGCAAAAATTATAATTCTGACTAATCGTGAATCATATCACAATATCTGTCCAAATAATCACAATAAGATTTTTTTAAATATATTATGCAGCCCTACTGTCTACCTGAATCCAAGTGAATGCAGCAAGTGTTTTTCCCAAAACTATTTCTTTAACATGAGTCATATTTATGAAATATGTAGTGTGTGATATAATTTCAAGCCCAGACTACCAAGTACTCACAAAACACAGATGAGAAGAGTTACTATAAAATTAAATAATAATGTGTTTCCATCTTCTGCTTTTACAAGGATACTTTCCTTGAAGTTGTATTCCTCTGTTTGAAAGAGCTGTCGGAGGTAGTTCAGATACAGCTCTGCTCAGAAACCAGGGCAAGAAGTCTAACAGGGAATTCATGACAAATGATGTTAATGTGACCACATGTTCAAAACTTGTTCATGTATTTTCTTCTGATATTGTTCCACTTCCTGTGATGTCCTGTCTGTATGAGCATGCCGGCTAATGCTAACCGATCCAGTCCTAACAGTCATAACAATACAACGGTAGACCTAGCACAAAGCAATAACAGGACTAGTTACTGGTGTGAACCACTGCCCGTCCTACATCTTGAGGGATTTAAATTCACAAATGATGGATTTTCAAATGTAGTCATCCATTATCGACCCACTTGTTGATTGAATGAAATGTGAAATTAAAGGGCATATCACAGTAAAAGTTCCCATTCCCAGTATGACCATTTAGATGACATTTCCCCTCTCATCCATTAACAACTAACATTCACCCATCAGAGGAGATAAGACGGATCAGACAGTTGGTAGCTTGTCTCTAATGTGGGGAAGAGATACAGCCTCATGATAAACATATAAATGTATGTTTGGCATGGCTCACATCATCATACGATTACCAGAGTTGGGGTACAATTTATAACTGGAAAATGTGCTAATTTGGCTGCAAGAAGAACAAGAAAAGACTGAAAATTAAACGTTGCAAGTGTGTTTTGTGCTTAAAAAATGGTTTTGAATCCAATCCAGGCAAACCCCAACTCTGGCCTGCATGCACTCGCCACCATCCCAAGTGATCTCTCTATGTGTGTGAATGTGGTCTGCATGAGTGAACTCATTCATGTGAATGCAGCTTGAATGCTACTGCTACCACAGCATCGCACCTCAGCCTCAGCAGCTTGCTGCTCTAAGTCCCCCTCCGTCTCAAATGCTGTCTTCTGTCCTTCCTCTCTGCTTGCCTACGCTGGCGCCCTCAAGGTCGTAATATTTTTCAAGGTATGTATGGATACACACCTGTTAACTTTCAAATCGAGCTGCCGTCTTCCTCGTCTTGTGGAATATATTTGCTGTCCCGATAGCGTGCTGTCTGTGTCTCTCTGACTGGAGATGGATGTATAGAGGACGTGCGTCACTGCTTTCAGTCCCCTGCTGCAGCTTGGATAGCTGGCTAGCACCTCAGGAGACAGGCAACCCTTGAATGTCTGGCACCATTGCAACCAGTGACTGAGCTGCAATGCCAAACTGGTGCTACATGCTGACTGAATGGAAACGCTAACTCATTAGCAACCGTTAACCACCTCCCCTGTCGTACTCAGAATGCGTAGTCTCTGAAGCCCAGAACAAAATGAGTTTGTTCCATTAGGAGCTCGCCATTTTGATTCAGGTGGCAGGTAGTCTCAATACACATTCAACCCAGTGAGGTAGATTAGTATTATAGCACAATAGCCAAGTTATGCTAACGTCGAAGACCCTAAATATGAAATGAGAGATTTGGTCATAATGCCATTGTTAGGTAATAAATAAAGCGATTGATGAGTTATTTTAAGCGAAACCGTTACTTCCTGTTAAAAGATGTCTGTAAAAGATTGCTTCTTCACAAACAACAGAGGCTGTGGTCGTCATGGAGTTATGAAAGTTACAATGGATCAAAACCTCCATATAAACTCCTGCAGCATCAGCCACTTTTCAGCAGCCCATCCATATGTGTTCAGTATGATTCAGCTCATTCCACTCAATCTGACACTTCGAGCTCTTTAACAGCAGTTTCATTTCAACCTAAACTTCTCTCAGAGCGTACACTTAAAAGGTCCAGTGTGTAACATTTAGGAGGATCTATTGTCAGAAATGGAACATAATATTCATAGCTATGTTTTCATTAGTGTATAATCACCTGAAAATAGGAATCATTGTGTTTCCATTGCCTTAGAATGAGCTGTTTACATCCACAAACCCTAGGGGTTACCTTCCATTTTTTTTTTTTATTAGGTTTTACTGGCCAGTATGCAAAAATATTCAAATACATTAGGTGAAAATAACATTTCTACTACTGTCAAAATACTATACTATTCAGACCACATCACACAAAATCATTGCCTACCACCTCCCAGGTTTATTTCTACAAGTTGATTTTTATGTTAAAGCTTGATACTGTTAGTGGAGATGGGTTGAAATAATCTTTTATATCTGATTTCTTTGGGAGAGAAACATTTAAAAGACTAACTGACAATGTATGATTCTAACTAGATAATTTCAAATGCCATTGCTTTGGGTTTAAAATAAACCATGCAATGACTCTTGATATTCACTGTTTTCTAGGTTACCCAGATGCATACTTGGGTAGCCTATATGGGATGGAGTTTCCAATTAATCATGGCAAAACTTGTATTTCATGATGCTTTTGCTCTTTATTACCCTCTTTGTCTCACAAATCAATTTTCTTGCCATTTTGCTGTCCCTGCTGAAAGCAATGTTTCCCATCTCCATTACCACAAAATGTTTTTCATCTTCTCCCATATTTATATTCTATTCTACAATGTAATGTCATTGTTTTTCATTCCCCAGTCTATTGCATGCCCTTTTCAGCAAACATTTTTTGCTTGATTGGAATAATATTTGAGATATTTGCTAAATCATTTCAATGAGTCATAATTTCACAGTGAAAACTAATATTGAATACTACAACCATATTTTGAACTAATCAGAGTAGCTCTTAATAAGACCTTTTGTGACTGACAGTTGCTCAAGGAATGTGTGAATTGCATATTTATTTTTTCCTGATACATGTCCTAATGATTAAGCAATGTGTCTTTCATATGTGCAGAGAACTAGGGAGGTAAAATTATATCCGTATTGTAATCTAGACAGTTGAATTGCCATATTCTGAATGACCATATGGATATCTTCAAAATGTTTCTGTGAACGTTTGATTAATTAGCTGGTAATGCAATAACATGGGAACCTGTAAAACTGCACTAATCAGTGTTTTTATATTAACAATGGACCCATTGACTGTGTTTATGTGGTCACCATCTAAGAGAATTGACTCCACTTTGGCCTGCTTTGGGCATTGGCCTTTGTCACCCATTTTTTTGGTCACTTAGTTATAAATTTGCTGAAATTTTCACTAACTGATTATTATGTTCAACTGATTGTTCAGGCCTGGTGGATTTTTGCAAATGTTATTAGAAGCACTAGGAGGAGCTAGAGGAACCTACAGATTATCTGTCTCATGTACTACTGTCAGGATATATTAGTTTCAGACAATATGACAAAAGGTTATTTTGATAAAAGTTACCTACTGCAGCTTTAATCATAATAGCGGACATCAATGTAAATGTGCCGGGGTTAGCAGTTAATTAGCACCCGCAGACAACTAACACATTCACTGCAACAATATATAAGGTGATTATTATCAGGTGGTGATTTGTCAGTGTTGTGTTGTTCAATGCACCTTTAATTATGACAAGTTGTAACTCCTGTTCAAGATTCATTATATATTCTATTTTGGTGAGTCATATTACACAATTTTAAAGGTTATCTTAAACCCTTAAAGACAGGTTTGATTTGAATTGTTATATTATTGAGTTAAAATATCGAAGTGGATATGACATATGACATTTTTTAGGCTGAAATGAGAACACTCAATGATTCAGTTTGGTAATAAAGATCAAAACAGAATCAATTGTCTATCCAGTTGCCATAATTAAATCCTTTTTGGGAAAATAAATGACTGAGGCCAATAAATAATAAAATATTTTTTACAAATCATAACTCCTTTTCCCTGGTATCACCTGGGGGTTTGACTAATACCTGGAACAATCATTGCCATCCCATAAGAATCTTATGGAATGGAAATGTTCCTGATTCCTATATTCAGGTGATTATACACTAATGGAAATTAAGCTATGAATATTATATTCCATTGACACTGACAATAGATCATCCTAAATGTTACACACTGGACCTTTGAGGCCTTTTTGACACACTGGTCTAGCTCTGTTTCGCCTCTGTCTGGCCAGACTACAGGGGAGCAGGTGATGTGGGCACTCTGCCAGTACTGCAGTGTTTTCTACCAGTTTGTCTCTCTGTCCCTATGTCCCCCACTTCCTCTTGATAACATTTTCTTATACAGAGATACACAGCTAGTGTATAGAATATTGTAAAATGTTTGTCTTCAGCTCTTTTGTCACTGTGTCCATCCCCCTGTATCTTTTCCTGTCTAACTTAATACCTCAGGATACGGTGATCATTTTGATTTTTGTCTCCTTTCTCCGTCATCAACAGGTGGTTTATACTTTATAGGCACAAGTAATGAAAGCTGTTTCAAATCCCAAATCTAGTATGGCCCTTTTTTTAATTTTGCTTTATTAAACACATTAATATTAATTCTGATGGCTGTAAAAGGATAGCAAACAGCATCAGTATTTGGTTATTTGTCTATTTGTACCTCTGGCAAAGAATCTCTTGGGATTATGTATGGGTTTGGCTGAGATAGGCAATAGATTGGTTTAGTTGGATCTGGAATGTTGCCCATGACACAGTTTTTGTTTTCTATCCAAAGCTACTGTCCATATGAGGAGGCCTGGCAGTTTAGCAGCCAGAAAGCACTGCAAGAGAGCAGAGGAGATATATGCTGATGTTTAATTGCTGCAGAGGGTGCAGCTTTGCAAGTTGATCCGATGGTGGTGGATATTTATGTTTATATGCCATACTGTGTTAACACATACCCTCACAGCAAGGCTACATGAGTACCTGACTCAGAGTTATTCACACATACATCTGCTGTTGCAAGCAAATGGTAGGAATGATTTAAAATGGATAAAATGGATATTTTTATAATGACATTCTGCAGCTCCCTCAGCTTTACAAAGCTTTGTAGTGAGTTTCAGCTGATTGTTTATCTGTCCGGCCCTGAACTTTACTGCTTTGGTTCCATCTCACTACCACTAGCAGTTAGTACCAAATGGTAGTGACTAACTGGTGAACATAGTGGAGCATTTAGCTGCTAAAGAGATGGGCATTTACCTCAGGAGTTAGTAGAGACCGAAAACTTAATATTGGACTATCTTATCTGTTCATCAATTGATCATTTGTGAAACTTGGATTTAACTACTTATTTTAAATAGTGATGCCAGTTTCTTTGTAGTGAAGCTGCTACTTTTTCACTGTAAGTGAAAGTGCCTGTTATTTTTACCAACATCTAAAGCATCTAAAAAGTATTGATTCTGGTGGCCCCTGTGGACAAAAGCGGTAGTGTTTCCACTGCCTTGTTTTATTGATTTCATGGGAAATCTGACTGGTCTGCAGACATTAAGAATAACTAGCAGAGAAACACAGAAACAGCGTCGTCTCCCTGATGGTCTTGTTTGTTTATGTAGGTCATATAATATGGAGGACCACAAGTGTCACTTAAAGTGCATTTCTTTATTTAGTAACTATTCATTAACAATGAATGCCTATTTTTATTGTGCAGTTAGTTATTAATTAATGAAATGCTCAATTAATATTTCTTTGACACTTGTGGTCCTAATAGAGGCATCAGTTTTAAATTGGTTGTTTCATCTCCAGTAAAAATGTCGGCAAGCTGGTGTATCGTGTTAGCCTTAAATGAAACACTTCAGTTACAGTGATACACACATCAATCAGGAAACACTGAGGAGGTAACCTCCAGTGTGCATGTATTTGCTGTAAAGCCTCGCTGGGACAAATTACTTAAACTATTTGCAGCACAGCATCCTTTGCTGCCTCTCTTAGGGACAGTGCCATTCGGACCTGTGATAGATCCGCCAGCAGTAAAGCCTGATTTATCGTCAGAGCCTGTGCCTGATTGCTTAATGCAGTTGCCATGGTTACCACTTCAGGCTGCTGTGATGTGCATTGGAATTTCTCTGCCTGCTGATTCTTGTACCTTTTTTCTGTGCTGCAGAGAGAGTTACTACTACAAAGGCTTTTCAGTTAGTGTTAAGGATGAGAACATGGCAACGTGTTCTGGGTAGAAATCGAACACAAACCTGAAACATATTTAAACTACTACTAAACTACTAGTCTTACCATACCTGTAAAATTGAATTGTAGGCTCAAAAGATATTGTTGAGGGAACAGATAAAGTCAGATTAAACTGAATAGCTTATTATTCAATATTATTTACTGTGCGTAGACGTAAGCCCCACCAGATCTAATTGATAGCGCTCCATCTCCTGCACAAGCTCCTTCCCCCCAAGCGAAGTGACATTCCACGTCCCCAAATCCAGCTTCTGCTGCCTGGGTCTGGTTTGAGGCCCCTGGCCTTCACTGCCTCCAATTTGGCATTGTACACAACCCCAGTGGTTTCTCCCTTGAGTGGTGGGTCCGCGGGATGAAGATGTGTCCACGTCACTCTTTCAGGCTATGCCCGGACCGGCTCCCTGGCAAGCCCGGCCACCAGGCGCTCACTTTCGGGCCCCCTTTCAAGGCCTGGCTCCAGACAGTGGCCCCGGGCTTCCTCTGGGCCAGATCTCTCTTCACTTTCTTTCATGGGGTCTTCTGTGACCTTCAGCACTCACTGGATTGGTTTGTGGCTGAGTAGTAAGCAGCTGGGATGAGGATCAGCGCCTCTAAATCAGCAGGAAACCGGTTGATTGTCTACTCTGGGTAGGGAATGAGTCCTTACCCCAAGTGAAGAAGTTCAAGTAGGAGTTATGTTTACGAGTGAGGGTAGAATGGAGTGGGAGATTGGCCAGAGAATTGGGGCAGCAGGGGCTGTATTGCAGTCACATTATCGCACTGTTGTCACGAAAAGAGAGTTGAGCCGAAAGGCGAAGCTCGACCTGCTACCCCCGCGACCCGACCCCAGAGAAGCGGATGATGATGATGATGATGATGATGATGATGATGTGTCAGTTGCAGGTGCAGGGAACCTGCTTTTAAACCTACTTCTCCAGAAGACATAATTTGATTTCTGTTGTGTACATACTGTTTATACTTTACCTCTGTTTAACTGGATTGTTTTTTACATTTGCTGTATGTATGTTTTACTTGTATCAACTTTCCTACTGTTGCTGCCTTTTGACCAGTTCGTCTTTGTAAATGATAATTGGTTCTCAATTGACTTTTCTGGTTAAATAAAAAGGTAAAATAAATAAAGATAAATATAAAAAATAAATAAAATAATAAAATATTTTTAGTAATTTCAAGTTGATTTAACTTCAGTTCTATTTTCAAGACCACTTATATTTATAAACTTGAGTATATGAGTTCTTCTGACTTGTTGTTTTGAGTGGTGATGAGTTGAATGAATGTACAACTGAAACTTCACTCAGCTCATTAAATTAAGTTTCTAAGGAAACATCAGCATATTAGCAGACCTCACAGGGTGCATGTTTTCATAGTTGAAAGTGAGCCGTCTTTTTGTAGTTTGAAAAAATATCCATGTTGCAAACTTGATGTGTGTGTTTAATAACTTGAATTGCAGTTGTTTGTTTTCGTAATTAAAAACAATGTAAACCTCGATGAAGACTAGGTTTAAATCCAGCGCCTGCCCTGGTACACTTATAATTGAACAAAATCTGCTTGACTTAAAAATTGTTGACTGAATTTAATATTTTTTTAAGTATTAGCATATATTCTTTGTAAAGTTCAGTTAAGTCAGCTGGTTTTATAAACTCAAAAGATGACTAAGAATAGTTATTCGAAGTTCAGATGGCTTACATTATTAGTGGAGATGGGGAACTTATTTTAAGTTGAACCAGCTTGAAATGATTTACAGTGTACAGCTGAAAAGAAAAAAAATATTTCAAGGGCTTTGGTACTTTAGTGAAACTATTATATCCATACTGTTCTGGGATTTTAAATTCTTGATGAATGGAACCGATTTTTCTTCCGAAACATTCTGTCTGAATCCCGGTTGTGCATAAACTGACTTCTCACTTCTAATAACATTTATTTTATGCTAGTCGTACAATATCTTTGGTAAAAGGTTTTTTTTGTCTATTCAGTGTTTATTTTCCCTCCTGATCTGAGGCTTTTTTTTTATTTAATTCATGTACTTTATTCAATAAATAAAGGCAAAAAAAATATCTCTTGCAATATAAAATCAGTGCTGCTCAATATCTTCTAAACCTGTCTTTTCCCCTTTCTCTCTGCAGACCATGCAAGCAGCGCGATGCCCGACAGATGAGCTATCGCTGACTAATTGTGCCGTGGTGAGCGAGAAAGATCTGCAGTCAGGACAGTGAGTAGTCATTATCGCCTATTCATCGTCACGTTTGTCAATACAGGCACACACCCGGGCACCTATCCATCATTTTTTCATCCCACCAATCACCCACCCACCCACCTTATCACCTATCATTCATCCAGAAGGTCACAGTCAATTATCCGATATGAGGCTGCACGACTTGCAGTGTGTGATTATTTCGCTGGATATCGTAATAATGAAAGTAATGAAAGTAAAAAATGAAACAAAGCTGCAAGAATACTAAAAAATACACCATTTTTTCAGCTTGCCTCGCTAAATATCATATTATTGTTTTGATATATTTTTTGGTATAATCTGTAAGTCTTGATTTCTCACTAAAAACTAAGTCCTCGAAGCCAAACAACAAAATACATTGTTATTGCTTTTAAAAACAAGCCATATAAGCATTTTCTGATCTGATCCCCGACCAGTAAACAAGGATGATTCTATCAACAGTTACTGTTATAGCTGACCTACATGCATGCATCATTTCTTGTGTACCCCTTGTGCATGTGTACGTGGTATACATCTGTGACTCAAGGGTTATACGAGTCCATATGGGTCACACAGAAACTTTAGACAAGCAAATAATTTTACTGTGGGTATCCATGTCATCCCTTGTCAGATCAACTGTTGCCACTTCATTGGCATTATCACAGTGGACCCTCTAAATGAAATAACATGGAATAAAAAAAGGGTGCAAACAGTTCCAAACATCCCTAATTTGTGTGCAGTGTTAGTGCATTATTTTGTCCCAGTCAAACCGTTTTTTGTCACGGTGAAATAAGAGCCTCTCCCACTGGTTTTGCACTCAGACACTCCAGATGTGGTCGTGTTCTTGCTGCTGCTTTTGTTCTGCTTTTATCTCTTTGTGAACGTAAGAAGTGACGCTAATAAACAATAAAGGGACTGAGCTGCTGACAAACAACAGAGGGTTTTACAGACTGGGCAACGCATTGCAACAGCAAATGTACTTAAGTATGTACATACATATTTTTGCAAAAGTATGAAACAACAAAATCAATTATAGCATTGCAACCAAATCCTATTATAGTATACATCTTGATGCACACATTAATTTCACACCAAAAATAACCTGTGTTCATTTTAAGAGTAATGAGTTAGTCATATTTGCGCTGCCATGGCAACTGCAGCCTTGTCGTTATCATTCAGTGCCACCAAGCAGTTATGTTAGTGTCGCCATTAGTACACTGTGTGGAGGTTTTAGGTTGAACACTGATGCTGATTACTGAAAACTTCTATTTCCTGATATCACTATATGCAGAACATCATATTCTGCTGGCAAAATATTGTAATTTGAAAGTCATGACTTAAAGAAGCTTCTATAGGAGCCTACCAACATGGTAACATGAATGATACAAGTATGTAATGTAATGCAATTCCTAAGCATCAACATTGGAAGATTATTCAAAATCTGTTTCTACCCGAAGACACTCATAATAAATTCTCTTGATGAGCCTTGTTGGAACTGGGGTGGCTTATGTGAGAATAAGGTACTAGTATCCTAGTAACCATCAGAGATTAGCCAATCACAACTCTTCAATAATGCCTCTAGGAAATTGGCCAATTAAATAGTGCTGTGTGGTCTCCAAACAGCCTGATGAGATGTGACCTGGAGTACTGTAAAAACCAGTGGCACATTTGAATGAGTGAATTAAAGCTGCACCAATATTTTTAATCAACAATGAAAAAAAAAAATAACCCAGTGATTACCCTACCTCTACAGAGCTTTTTACTCTGTTTTGGATAATTGCCTTCAGCAGGCAGCAATCATAGTGAAGCATTTAGCAGCTGAAGAGGTACATATTTCTCCCAGGACCTGGAAGAAACCAAACTTGTAGCAAAAGCTAGACTGATGACCAGAAGTACAACACTAAAGTAATTCTAATGTTTCTCCATTATTTGGATGTGTGAAGGGCAACTGATTATGGACCCCATCTGGATCAAAAAGAGCACTTTTATACCTGCAAAAAATGGATATTCCCTATAAGCTTTATTCTATTTTGAGGTCAGAGTTTAACCAATGGATACCAGTATCTTCACTCTTCATTTTCAAAAACTGTGCCCGCTACAGCCTCTGAAAGATTGGAAGGAAATGAGTGGAAGAGGTTAAAAATCTATTAACAAAGCTTTAATCCCTACACAGGAACTGTGGGGAGCTACCACTGACATGTCACAGAAAGGTACAAATAAACAGGATAGATACAGGGAAAGAAGGCATGGCATGACACTGTCGTGTGCTAGCCAAAAAATGTAATAACCCGGGTCCAACTGTCTCCTGTTTCTGCAGACATGTGACTGTGAAGACCACACCCAACCACAAGTTTGTGTTTACAGTAAAGACCCACCACACTGTGGCAGCTGGAAGCATCGCCTTCAGCCTGCCTCAGGTTCCCCCCCCCCCCCCCCCACACACACACACACACACACACACACACACACACTCAGTTAATTACTACTTGTTGGCTCCATACTCAATCTTTCCATATCTCTCTTTCACTTATCTCTCTTTTAGAGGAAATGGGCCGGTCTCTCCATTGGCCAGGAGGTGGAAGGTATAACAATCTCTATTTGATTGCTGCAAATGATGGTTAACTATACAGGCAAATGTGCTGTAATTGACAAGCTCTCAAGCTTTCTGTCCTCAAATAGCACATACGCAGTGTATAATAGTACTGTATATATTTATATATATATATATACATACATATATACTGTACATTGATCTTGTGTATATATATATATATATATTTTGTACTGAATGTTGTATATATATATATATGTTGTTTGTATAATATGTCATTTGTATATCTGGAGTGTTGTAACAAAAATAATTTCCCCCTGGGATTATTGAAGTATTTCTGATCTGATCTGATATAATGACAGATTACCAGTGGCAACAGTGGGTCCATGATTTCATACAAAAGGTGGATGAACGTAGGGTAATCATTTCTAACTGGTAACAGTCAAGTTGGCCGTCTGGAATTACATCTGAAGTATGCTCTTAGCTGTAGCTAGCTAATTAAACTAATGTTAAGTCCATGAGTTGGCTGACTGACGCTTCCAGCCAACTCATTAAAAAAGGAGCTCTGTGGTGGATACATACATGATATTATGCTAAAAGGCTAAAGCTGCATAATAATAATTTAGCATTTTCACCAGCTGATCATTTATTTAAAGATCTAACAATACACTCAACACACACTTCAATTCACAATACTGGGTTCAAGATATGATTTTCTCATTTTTCTTTTGTAGACCAATCTCAAATTCTCAAATCGGACTGAGCATGCAAACATTATTGAGAACGTTGACCGCCTTGCACACAGTTATGGTGCTTTTTACAAAATGAACCCTAAATAGTCCTGGCTTTTAAAGCATAAGGTATACTGTTGGCAGTAAGTTAGGTTTGATATGCTAACTAGGGGTGTAAGAAAATACAAAAAAATATTGGGATGTTTATTAAATACGTTTTTTCCCCCTTTTCTTTATGAAAGTGAAACTAGTGAAAGTCATTTATTTATTTTCAACTACGGAAAATGGCCTCAGATCATTGCCATGTGTTGTCTTATCTTTTGACCCGTCTCATTTTCTGACTCTAACTGAAAAAGTTGCCACACATCCGATTTTAAACAGGACAGTGCGTCCTCAAGTGTTCACCTGCAACCGCCATCTGTCTTTTTTTGGACGTTGACCAAGTAAAGTCTAAAGACTAACCAAACATGCTAACAGCACCCAGAATGTTGATATCAATGTGACCTGTAACCCCAAACAACGTAGTTCATGTTAATGCTAACTCCTTAAAGCAATAAGGTCTTTTAGGTAGTAAGCTAAGTCATATATGTTAACAAAGTGATATTTTGTGATACTGTATGGATTCTTTTAATGACTTTATTCTGTCCTGTGATAGTCTAATGTGTGGTAGGTGCATTCTGTTGTTGTCTGTACTTTCGGTCTTTCCATTGAAGCTTGAGATCCTGAGATCAGTGTGCCCCTGTCCATCTGTCCCCTCAGTGTCCAACTACAACTTTGACAAGTCCAAGCAGTGCATCGGCGCCATGACAATCGAAATTGACTTCCTGCAGAAGAAGAGTACCGACTCCTCCCCCTACGACTCAGACAAGATGGCCGCCGAGTTTATCCAACAGTTCAACAACCAGGCCTTCTCTGTTACCCAGCAGGTTCATGTTCTCAAAATATCGAGGCTCACACACAGACACGCAACCAAACTTGTTGCTTTCTTCTTTGCTCCTTGATGTTGCTCTGTGGGTTTTTTGATCATCCTCTTGCTTTTCTCCGTCCCTCAGCTCGTGTTTAGTTTCTGCGACAAGCTGTTTGGCTTGATGGTAAAGGATATCGAGGCCATGGATGCCAGCATCCTCAGAGGAGAGCCAGCCTCTGGAAAGAAACAGAAGGTACCTGACCTTGCACAGCTCCGGTGCTTCATGTGCATATTTATGAGATTTATCATAAAAACGAGTCAAATCAAAGGTTTGCAGTGTTCATTCAGGTGAAGGTTCAGGTGTTCGCAAGCCTTTCTCAAATTTGGCCTTTTATTGAAATTAGTTATGAGAGTAGATGTGTCTTGTTTTTTTTCCTCTTTCGAGGAAATGGGAATGTTATCACGCAGCTACAGAAAGCTCTTAGTGATCCAGTCCCGATGGGATTCTGCCCCATCCCCATATATGCCATATGTTTCCCATATACTGCCACTGCTTAATGGCTTCTGGTGAATCATTTTGTTTACTCATCATCTTGATCATCATACACACCCATCTGACAACTGACGCCACTGTAATACAGATGAGCATTCTACGACACAACTTATTGCATTGTGCTCATTGTGTATTTATTCATGCACATTAATACAGTGGCCCCATTGGACAAAATGCATTCACCAGCACAGGCACAAACACAGAGAAATGCACTTCATATCTAAAAAGGCAACAGATTCTAAACTACAAAAATAAAAATACAAACATTAAGAGAAATTTGCTCCCAATTCAGGAACGCTCCAAATACAGAAATGAGGCACATCACTTTATGAAAATAAGTGTAAATAAGGATCTCTACATTCAGTCAGCCATTACTCATACAGAGTGTTCAGTCACTGACATGTGTCTCCCAGTCCCTCCTTTCTGCAGTAAACAGAATATATTTTCTGGTATCCAATCAGGAGAGAGAACTCCACAAAGAGGCGGTTCTCAAGGGCAGGCAGCAGAAATGATGTTATGTTATTATGTGGTTAGGTGGAGAGGAAGGATGGGAGCCTACCAATTTTACTTACAGCACCTTTAAAGGGCTGAGTCCTTGCTGAAGTTAATCTAAGATTAATAATTAGAAAAAAACAATAAGACAATTTATTCAGCATAATAACAGTAAGTGTCTTCAATGAAGCAGCAGAAGCATTCTTATTTTTAGCATTTTTTTATTGAAACAATGAAAAACTAAACAGCTGCTTTATTTCCAACACTGGGACAAGACTACTTTCTGTTAAACTGAGGAAAATAATCTTGTTCCTCTGCTGGGGTATTATGCAAACCATTGTTGTAGCTTGTTATTGGTTAAATCGAGCTCAATATGGGCTGTAATATCATAGCTTAGGAGTAAAACGAGACACAAGAGGAGTAAAACTACAAAATAAAACAGGACATAACAAAATAAAAACCCAAAACCATGACAATCTTATTAAGACACAGATATTTTATCTAAACAAGATTATTTTTCTTTTTAGACAACAGCTTTAGACAAACAAGGCTTTTTTACTTTCTTGAGATTACTTTTTTTCCTTCAAACATTAGGAAAATGTCAAATGACCAATCCGCTACAAAATCAGAGATGCTGCAAATCACATATTATGTACAAGTTTTATTTGTTGCCTTTTGGGGAATTTTTGCTGCATTTACTTGCATTGTGTGCATTTGCTCTTGTATATGTCTTTTCAGTTGTGCCCATAGTGCATTAATAGTCTCCATGTAAATGAGCTAATGTTTTAATCAGTAGATGGGAGATATATTTCTAAATCATCAGACAATCTGAGGAAAAGATGTCCTAAAGTGATTGATTGATAGGTGATGTGGGGGTGGCAGAAATATATTCAGACTTAATCACAATCAATCACATATATCAATATTTGCTTAGAAAAGCCCCAAAATTATTGTAGCACATTAGTAAAGCACTGAATAGAAATATCTAAAGGTGGCATTGAGAAATCCAGACATTGTTTTATATTTATAATAATATAATAGTTCTCCATTGAACCTAAGACTATCACTTAAATGTTTAAATGTGGCAATAACAGATCATTACAGTCATTTATGTTTTTTTTTTTTTTTAAATATCTAAATTAATGTGTTAAATTTGACACCAAACTGGGGTGCCACCCCTCTAGATCCGCCCCTGCAGTGTAGATATGTCACCTCTCTGAACGGAGCACGGACTGATAGTGACTCTGTTTCCTCTGACAGATCGACATTGGGCTGATGGTGGGAAACAGCCAGGTGATTTTTGAGAAGGCAGAGAGTTCATCCCTTACACTGGTTGGTACGTTCCTTATTTCTCCCTACAGGTTTCCTCAAACTTAATTGACCTCAGTCAGGATCTGGATTTTGAGGGGCTAAGAGAAGGACTAAATCAAGAGGGTAAACATGGTCAGAACCTCTTTTTCTGAAGGGAATATTTCAATCTTGATGGTGCTGCATAAACAACAGTCTCTTACCTAGTTCCTCCACAGGATGGCAGTAAGAGCACATTACAGTATGCTCTCATTAATGCATCACCTCCGTCTGTCTGCTAAAGAAAAAGGCAGACTTAAAGAAGAGATAGAACGGATCAAACTGCTTTAATTTGGTGGTTTTTAATTCATTATTGAGCTCCTCAGAAATCCCATTTTCCTTCCTGTCACAATCCTCTATAGAGGATGAGAGCGTGGGCCCCCTTTTGGGTGAAAGCAGTTCCTCTAATTTGACTGGCCGTAAATGTAAATTCTGAGATCTTTCCCAATCTAATAGCATAAAATAAGATTGCCATATTGCTTTTTAGCTATGGCCAACGAGGCAAACAATTATGTAATCATCGCCAATCAAAGATCAGTGTCATTGTATGGAAGAAATAAAGAAATAGGGGTTGATGAGCTTTAGTCTGCCTCCATCACAGTGGACGGACCTGACATACAACTACCTTAGTGAATCTCATATTTCTGATATCGTTCAGACTCTTTGTGTTTATAATCAACGTTTTACTACGAGTCAGGTTTTATCTCCATTTCTTGCATTACTTTATGCTGATACATTTCTTTTCATTAAAAACTTTATTTACACCATCACTGAGACACTTTACTGATTCTCTTTAATCTACAGTTACAATGTGCACAAACGTCATTTACTCAGTAACATCATTAACTTTACTTTAACTTGTGATTAGACCTTTCCCACAGACACATACTGACAGTTTACCATTTTGTATCCTCTCTGTGGATAACCTAAAGCCACAGATCTCTTCTTTTACTGTCCTTCATTCTTTGGGGAAGTAAAGAAAATAAACTGGGTTTTTCAACACAGCAGCTTTTAGGCATAGTACCACTGGGCACTTTTACAGCACTTTTACAGCACTTCACCCAAAAGGGGGCAGTGAAGACAAGAAAGTGACATATGCCTGCTCTCATCTATCCTCATGTAGTCACTTGCTTTAACATATATGTTATCATTGTTATTTTCCACTGATGTAGTTCCTTTATGTTTTTTAACAGGTAAGGCAAAGACCAAGGAGGCCCGACAGACAATCATCAACCCAGAATGGAACTTTGAGAAGATGGGAATTGGAGGTCTGGACAGGGAATTCTCCGACATTTTCCGCAGAGCCTTTGCTTCCCGAGTCTTCCCTCCAGACATTGTGGAGCAGATGGGTGAGAAACTCTATCCTCACTCTTTTTTTGTTGCTTTTCCTGATTTAACCGTGCCAGATTGCCTTGGTTTTTTGTGCTGTTGTCTAACATCCTTTATTGACTCTATTGACTATTTATGAGGTTTAAAACCTGCTTCATATGAAATGGATGTGATGCAAGTAATTCTTTGGCTTTTGGGTTTTACTGTAAATGAAGTGTCAAAACCTGGTTGGGATAACCTTGCTAGTAAATTTGTATGCTGCATATTCCCCGCAGTAGCAAAATGTAATATACAGTAATACGATGGAGGAAACTGGGTTATTCACAGTGCAACAGCAGCTATTTTTTCTCTCTCACACACAGACAATAACATAGAATTTATTCACTGGTTCTATGATTCATTTTATTAACTTGGTTTCTCCCCCCTCTGGCACATAAAACTATTTTATAACATGCATACATCTTTTCTCCCTCTGATGTCTTTTTCCTCTTCTGCCTCCTCCCTCTGACTCTTTCCTCGATCCTTTCATTTCACTCCCATCTTACTCTTTTTCCCTTCCATTTTTGTCTTCATTCCCTTTGGCGTTTGTCACCCTCCCCGTTTTCTGTGCTCCAGGCTGTAAGCACGTGAAGGGCATCATGCTGTTTGGGCCTCCGGGCTGTGGTAAAACGTTGATGGCCAGGCAGATCGGTAAGATGCTCAATGCCCGCGAGCCCAAGGTCGTCAACGGCCCAGAGATCCTCAACAAGTATGTAGGAGAGTCTGAGGCCAACATCCGCAAACTGTTCGCCGACGCGGAGGAGGAGCAGAAGAGGGTGAGAGACGCTCAGTGCACTTTTCTATAAGCTCAATTTAAAAGAAAACAAGACTGAACTCATCATTTGGACCTGTCTCCAGCTCGGAGCCAACAGCGGCCTCCATATCATCATCTTCGATGAGCTGGACGCCATCTGCAAGCAGAGAGGCACAGGCGCCAGCAGCACGGGCGTGCACGACACTGTGGTCAACCAGCTCCTGTCTAAGATTGACGGCGTGGAGCAACTTAACAACATCCTGGTCATCGGTCAGTATATGAGAGGGGACTGATTCACCGCGTTAACATACCTAACAGCTGTAAGATGGTTCTCAACCTTTTAGAGTCCCACCCACCCCCCGTTTGTAACACAACACTTGAAAGCTACCTTACTCACACAAGAAGAGCATTGCTTTGCTCACAGACAGAACAACAGTCTTTAGATTTGTTGGAATAACAGCACCTTGTCAGTCAACATGTCTGCTTTAGGCCTAAAAGCCTATAGCAGTGGTTCCCAACCTGGGGGTTGCCAAAGCTTCATAGGGGGTCACAAGGCCTTCTTGGTTTTAAGGTAAGCTAGAAAACTTAAATATACACAATAGACCTATATCTCAGCATCTGGTTCCCTTCTGTGAAAAGTAAGTGTAAAGTACAGTAAATTGTGAATTGCCAAGCATCAGGGACAAGCAAACACTGAATTTGTCAAAACAGAAGCATGTTAAGTATTTATGATAGACAGATTGTCTGCTCAAAATCCATCCAAATCACTGGTTTCATACAAATGTCTTGCAGTTACTGAGTTCACTGTTAGGGTTCATTGTACAGTTTGGAATATAATATGAAATATCAATAAAATATGAGTCTGGAGTCATCAGTTTACTAAATAATGGAAAAGGGCTCCCTTAAGGAAAAAGGTTGGGAACCACTGGCCCCGGTTCTTGTCCCCTGTTTTGAATGTCATTAAAGGGATGACATCGCTGAGAGCTGCTTCCTGTCTCTCATTCCGCTCTGCTTGCAACAGTATGTTTTATTTTACACTCTACAACCATTTAGAGACTTGGATTAGAAAGCAGAGGCACGTTCACACATATTTCACTGATTAATTCAAACAGAATGCTTACGACCGATGCATGAGCACTTGAGAGTCGTGTAGGAAACATGACGCTGCTGCAAAGCAGAAATCACTTTATGAAACGGGCCCCAGATTGAAAACCATTCAATGATATTTGTTTTCTGTGCACATGTTCAGACCTTTAATGTTCCATGATGATTGAAATGCTGTTGTGTTATCTCCTGAATGGATAATGGCATTCTCCTGTCCAAATCTGAGAATACACTGTATATAAAAGAGACGTGGGAGAAGGAGGGGAATTTCAGAAGAGGGCTGGAGGAGAATATGTTAAGCACAATGGAATTTATTCTGTTTGAAAAAATATTGGTAGTTATTTTATCACAACCCCTGCAGAAATGACACCACAGAGGTGGAGGTATCTGTTGGAGACTATGTGGGACAAATAACGCCAGTTTTGGAATGACTGGAAAGATGCAGGCTCCCCCTTGTCTCACTGTTAATAATAAATCGGGAAGTCAGTATAGGACTGTATGCTGGAGAGCTAGACAGCTTTTTCAAGTCAAACCATCTGAGGATATTCAGTTATCACCATAATGGAAATTCACCACAATAAATTGGGTTTTATCACAATAGTATTGTATATCGCCCCATCCCGAATAATGTATTTGGAGTTAGTATTCCTTTTAGATGTGATATCGTATACATGGGTGACATCTCATTTGAAGGGAAGAATAGCAATGATAAGAAATTTGTACAAATACGTCAAATACAGCAAAATATATATCAGAATCACTTTTATTGGCCAGGTATGTGCACACATACAAAGAATCTGACTTCGGTTTTATGTTGCTCCCAATGTACATACACAGAATAGCATAAATAAACAGGACAACAGGCTCAACAAAATAGAAGGTGGATATGACAGTATATACAGAACAATATGCAGAGCATGCATAGCTGTGTTACATTATGTGATATATTAGGGAAAGGCTGTTATTCTCCCTCAAATTCCAGAGTGAACCTAATTTTTCAGACACAATGGGCCTCATGTAAGAATCCTATCCTATCCTGACTTAAACGTCTCCTACTTTTTGAAACACTTCGTGTTGATCTGTGCCCTCTGCTCATGAGGGAGTGTGCACTCGTGACATTTGATCATTAGTATAAACTCTGTCCCCAAAATTATTCTGTAAGAAGAACTACCTGTTCTGCTCCATGTGTGGGCACGCTCCATTCACGGTAGTAGTATTAGAGGACCAGAAAGAATTTGCTAAACGTGTCTCTAGAGCAGCACTGTACTGTAAAAATCATAAAGAGAGTGAATAGTTTGACATTGAGATAGTGACTGGACAGACCTGAAGCTGTTGCAGTGACATAGTTTTCCTATCAACTACTGAACTGAAAGTTGCCACACCAAATATGCCAATCAAATCATTAAATGTTTTAAAAAAGTTGTCAAACTGCTTAGTAAATTGGCAAGCCATGATGATAAGTTTGTGAACAGAATATTACTAAGTTTATTTTAGGTTTTAGAAAGAGGGGGAGATAGACTTATATGTGTAACTTCAGAACAAATGTGTTTGTACAAGTGATTCTTGGCCCATTGTCAACTTAAAAGGTCCAGTGTGTAACATTTAGGAGGATCTAATGTCAGAAAAGTATGGAAGCCCATTTCCCCCAATATGACGAAAACAAAAAAGATTCTGTGAGTAATTATAATGATAAACTTTCTCAGTATTTTATTATTGGCAGAAATGGGCTTCCATAAAAATGGAATATAATATGTGTATTTTCATTTGTGTATAATCATATAAATATAAGTATCTTTGTGTTTTTGTGTGATATCTTCTATCTTCATATAATGTCAGGACATTTATTTATCATTAGACAACACAAGGTTGTATAACAAAATGAAAATATGCTGTCCCTTAATGCAACACACATAGAAAAAGATCATTACATTTATAGAATAACATAGAAAATGGAAATAATAAAATTATATCATAGTGTACGAATTAATTTAATACAGTATCAGTGTATATATCAGTCAGCATCAGTAACATAACTCTGCCCTCCCTCCTTGCTGCCATTCTCTCAGTGTTGTTTTCTCTTCCTCTCCAGGTATGACCAACAGGCCCGACCTGATAGATGATGCCCTGATGAGGCCTGGCAGGTTTGAGGTCAAGATGGAAATTAGTAAGTGTTCAGCTCTCTCTCTTCTTTCTTTAGAAACAACTCAACTTGGTATTGTGGTTAAAGTTGGCATCCCTCATCTCTGTCCATGACTTCAAATGCTGAAATATCACCTATTGGTTACTTGTAGTTTTAGAATATAACATGATCACTTAAATGAGTACCAAAAAAAAAGCAGATGAGTTTTTTTTTATTATTCTTTAGAAAGCACAATGTGAAAACAATTTCACATTTAAAAAGTCCAGTCTAACCTTTCCTTCCACAAGAAGAGCTTATGTATGGAGCTCTGAAACTGACAAAATGTAGTAAAATGTGTCAAATGTATTTCCCTTTAAAGCTGCAGTAGGTAATCTTTATAAAAGTAACTTTCACTGTATCCTGGCAGTAGTACATGAGACAGATAATCTGTGAAAAAATCTGGTTCCTTTGATTCGTTGTAATGATCCTAATGGCATTTGCAAGAATCCACTGTGCCTCAATAAAAACAACCTATCAGAGCTGAGGAAAATGGAATAATCAACTACATTTCTTGGCTAATAAGATGCTAAAATTACATGTACAACTTAAGCAGGGTTGTTGCATTTTTGCACTTGAACCTTGGTACTTGTTTGTACAGTCATTTTAGTCATTCAAGCTAACACAAACAAATGTTACTACTTAGAAGTTCAAAGACATTATAATTCCATCTTCTTAATCTTTAGTTATATTGTTGATTTGTCTGATAGCCTTGGCTTTTACCAGGTTTTGGCAGTTTTTTGCCATAATTATGAAAACTATTTTTCTGCCCTATAAATCTTTTTATGTATTCATTGTATTGCTTATTTTTTCATCAAAATATCATGCCTATAAATCAGCATGGAGTTGCATTGAATGTGTTTGTGAATAGAGGCATCCATTTATTTCCTTCTCTGCTTACCTTCCTCTGTCCCTTGCTGCCCCATCGTCTAACCTCCAGGTCTGCCTGATGAGAAGGGTCGTGTCCAGATCCTGACCATCCACACCAACAAGATGCGAAACTTCGGCCTGCTCGCTCCTGATGTCGACATCAAGGAGCTGGCAACCGAGACTAAGAACTACAGCGGTGCAGAGCTGGAGGGGCTGGTCAGGGCTGCCCAGTCCACTGCCATGAACCGACACATCAAGGTCACTTGCAAAGGCACTTTCAAATACTCTCATACGCACAGCTGACTCAAGCACGAGCTGGGCTCAGCTGTCAGTCATGAAGTAAAACACCTTTTTATAGCTTCAAATAACCAATTAAAACCAAACTTAGGAAAATGAACACTTGAACATACATCGTGTCCCATCTGCTAACATGGAGGCAGCAGGCTTTATGCCTTATACAGCAGTCAGCCACCAGGGGGAGATAGAGATGTTTTGGCTTCACTTTTGGAGAGCTGTCATGTCGTCCATCTTTATCTATTTATATATGTTTATATATTTTGTTATATTGTAATAAAAGCTTGCACTGTCAGTAGTGGTCAGCAGAAAGTAACCCTGCTAGCAGATAAGCATGCAAGCAGATTAGCTTGCTAGCAGTAGTGCTAGCCTAGCTCCCAACTCACAAGTAACTTTCTCCTTGCAGGTCTTAACAGTCTGTCAGCAAACTGACTCTAGTGCAACATTAAGCTGATTGTTTACATCACCAAAGCACCAAAACATGATGGGTACCAAGTAGCAAATTACAAAATATATGAATTCCTTTCAAAAAAGTAAAGCAATAGTGTAGTGTTAGTGTGTGTAAGTGTTAGCTGTGACCTCAATAGACACAATTATCTCAAAATTAAAGAATAAATAAACTGAAGAAGTGCTTATCCCCTTTTTCTGGAGCTTTCACCCACATTATATGATTAACAACCACACTCAGTTGAGATTATTTTAAGAACCTTTTATTTTGTAGGGATGTGTGGTTTAGACATGACGTGCAGAGACTTGGTTGCACTGTTAAAGGGGTATTCCAGTGATTTGGTATTGCACTTCCATAAATTTAGGGGGTCACAATAGACTCATTAAAAACTGAATCTTTAAAATCCATATAAATCCTATATAATAGACACTCTTGATACTTTGAAGACACTTTTGTATCCAGAGCCACAGAAGACATTATAAAACAGTTTTGGCAGGATGAATAGTACTCCTCATGGGGAGTAAATCTGAATTTGATGTGTAAAATTGGTGGAGTGCCCTTTAAACCTGGCATTGTTTTGATGTAGTTTAATGTGTATCTTCTTTTTCCAGGCTACAGCTACAGTGGAAGTGGACATGGAGAGGGCAGAGAAGCTGCAGGTCACCAGATCTGACTTCATGGGGTCCCTCAACAATGACATAAAACCTGTATGTACCAGGATTTTTGACATAGTTCCTGACTGCAGATTACAGTATGATCCTGGGATATAGTTGTTAACACTTTCTCACGCTTTTATCCAGGCATTTGGTACAAACCAGGAGGATTACTCCACCTACATCATGAACGGCATCATCAAATGGGGAGACCCAGTCACTCATGTCCTGGATGATGGAGAGCTGCTGGTACAGCAGACCAAGAACAGTGATCGCACACCACTGGTGGCTGTGTTATTGGAGGGTAAGAAGTCATCACGCCATTTATACTTTATTTTACTTACTACTTTACTTACTATTTTACTCAGATATTTGTTTGGTATGATCCGGTTTTAAATTTGAATGTTTTTCCACCAGATTACATAAAGGTGCATACACATACCACATAGCTAATAATAAATATACAAGATACAGCTCATGACAACGTGCTCTTCCAATTCAGATTACATAGGTCTAATAAACATCATACAGAAACTGTTCTTAATGTTTTTATCTGGATAGATAAAGGGTAAAAAAAATGCAGCACCTTCTGTTTCAGATGTATAGGCTTTACCTTGGCTTTGCCTATCTACATATGAGTATGAGCATTTTCAGAATTTCAGTCCAACAACCGACGTTAGCTCACGTTATGAGCTTGATTGACAGCCTGGTGGTAGCAACTGCTGTGATCCAGTGGTGAATCAACACATGGCTCATTTGAATATTAACATGAGCCATGTGTTGATAGGTCACCACACGAAAATGTGACCAATGAAATTACTTATTTTGACACACATTTTTAGCCAATAAGTATTAAACTAACGAGGTAATGTGTCAAAAGGCGACCTTTTTAGTTATTTTCTCAAAAGGAGGACAAATGAGTGTCCGGCTTAAGGCTGCACCTGCAGCCGGACAGGGTGTTTAAAAGCCGGACTGTCCTTTCCAGTGAGCCAACATGGCAAGGCAAAGCAAGGCAGTTTATTTACAAAGCACGTTTCATACACAAAGGTAGATTCAAGGTGCTGTACAGTGAGGTTAAAAACAAGACAGTTCAAAGATAAAACAACAGCCTTGGGTGCCCGGTTAGCTCACCTGGTAGAGCTGGCGACCATGTACTGAGTCGTTGCTGCAGCGGCCCTGGGTTCGAATCCAACCTGAGGCCCTTTGCTGCATGTCATCCCCTCTCTCTGCCTCCCTTCCGGTCTATCTTCAGCTGTCACTGTCAAATAAAAGACCAAAAAAAGATAAAACAACACAATTTAATATAAAAGAGCACAATTTAGAGTTAAAACAACACACTTATATACTTATACAATTTAAAAACAATATAATAGAATTTAATAAAGAGAAAGAATAAGAAATTAAAATAGCAAAAGCACAATTTTTACTATAATTCTTGTGGCGTTCCTAAGACCATCAGACAGTTGGTCCCAGCTCTGTACTGCATACTGACTAAAAGTTGCGTCTCCTAGATTGGACACCTGCATTTGCATAGTGAGTCAATAGGACTGTAGTCATTTGGTGCACAACAACAGCACCCTGACTCTGTTTGACCTGAATGGAACGGAACCTTATTAAGTAAATAGTAAGATCTGTGTTTACCTGACTATTTCATGTAAAAAATGGCTGCTGTGAAAACAGTATTATACACCAGGTTGAAATAAACTGGAATCAACCTTTAAGTAAAATGTGTTTAAACAGTGAAAAAATTGCTTATTTGCATTAAATGACTCAAACAACACGTCAGCTTTCACCCCACTGAAAAGCTTCACACATACAAACACACGCAGGCAGTGAATTGTACCCCTCCTTTCCTCTCCACACACACACACGCAGGTCCACCCCACAGTGGAAAGACAGCCTTGGCAGCTAAGATTTCAGAGGACTCGCAGTTCCCCTTCATTAAGATCTGCTCTCCAGACAAGATGATTGGATACTCAGAGATCTCTAAGTGCCAGGCAATCAAAAAGGTAAGTGCTGCAGTGTTTTAACCCTTAGAGTATGTGAGCAAACACTGAAACATTTGCATTTGAACAATGGCTTATGGAACCATTTAATCTGTTTAATTGCTCCTTCCCTTTCACCAATGACTCCTCCCTTTGTTTTTTCCACCCATTAATGCCTCTCTGCATCCTCCCTGCCTGTTGCTCCTTTGTCTCTCCCTCCCTCCCTCTGTTTCAGATCTTTGAGGATGCTTACAAGTCGCAGCTCAGCTGTGTGGTGGTGGATGACATTGAGCGTCTGCTGGACTATGTCCCCATCGGACCTCGGTTCTCCAACCTGGTACTCCAGGCTCTGCTGGTGCTGCTGAAGAAAGCTCCCCCAAAGGTTAGAGTGCATCTGCACCCTCTGTACATATTGTTACTAAAAGACCAAAACCAATAACAAATGGATCCTAATTACTATTCGTCTTCTTCTTTCTCTGTGATTAATAATTAAACACACATCAGTGAGCCACACTGTTGCACTGATGAAGGAGCGTGAACACACACCCAAAGGCAATGGAAATAATTGGAGGTGTGCAGAGAGAAGAGAACTCACCAGACCTCTGCTTTGAGTAATGTTAGCTAAATATTTCAGTGCCCAACTGTTTAAGAAAATCACTGAGCCTTTTTGAAAACTAAAACTACTTATTTGTGACACATTCTTCAGTAGGAATAAATGGGCTAGGAGCTGTGTTCAACAGCAGGGTTCACAGAGAACAATAGTTCCTAACAGTGTCATTCTTGACCCAGACAAACTAATCAAATCAAGCAAGAGGCGGGCTTTACTACACTACCACTTCCTTCCTGATTTGATGCCGTTTACTATGCCGGTAGATAGTGTGAGAGCTATGGAGCAGGGGTATAGCGGGGGGGTAAACTCAGGTATCCACCTCTTTGAAATGAAGTTAGAGTTTACTCATCTAGAGCTCGACGTCTGCTTGAATCCACTTTTTTCCCCCAGTAATCATATTCCGGTTGTGCATGCAGCAGTTTTTTTCACTCTTTGCCTTCTCCTGTTCGCCCATAGTGATGTGTTTCTGTGTGATCGGCCCCTAACACCTTTTTGATTGTGGTCTTTTCATGCAATTTTTGGTTAATAAAAAAGACATAGAAGATCACCAGTGTGACAATCTTCTGACATTTTGGGAAAAACTCTGCTTTATTGAAAATATTAGCTAGGAATATCCGTATCACTCTCATATCTGTACGGTAAATATTAAGGCTGCAGTTGATTTCCTTAGCATAGATACAAGAGTGATATACATTTTTGAATGTAACTCTCTGTAACAAAGCAAATAAGCATGTTTCCCAAACGTTATACTATTGCTTTAAGATGACAATTGTATAATGTGTAATAATCAGGCTTTCAGTGTTTTACTGCATTAACAAATAGTTTCATTTAAGTGGAGTCAGTTGATTCATAAAAGTAATTAGATCAACAAAAGTTGGAACAGTTTATATGTTTATTTCAGAATTACCTAAACCTAGTGAAAACCTACACTATGGCTGTGGTTATATCGGTCCAAACTCATTGGTATTACATTTTTGAAATCGTGAACTTGTGAATGGACAATCACGGAAATTGAATTTCCCATATGGTATAGTTAAGAAAGGACAAAACAAGTCATTTCTTCCTCCTGCAGGGCCGGAAGCTGCTCATCATTGGCACCACCAGCAGGAAGGACGTGCTGCAGGAGATGGAGATGTTGGACGCCTTCAGCACCACCATCCACATCCCCAACATCTCTACTGGGGAGCAGCTAGTTGAAGCTTTAGAGGTATTCACACACAGACATACAGTGTAGTCAACATATTTGGTTGCTTGGAGGTAAAGAGGCTCACGACTGTGGACACTCAGATGAATGTGGTGAATTACACATAACCATCCCCCATTCTCAAGAGCACACATTCACGCACACACTCAGCCTTGAAAGATCCAGCACAGTAACCTTTGTGTACACAGGGAAAAAACATTTGCATTCAATCAAGTTGCTGAAGTATTGTATTGCAGTTTGGTTGGAGGTTAGGAAGGTAAGAAAAAAGCTCCTTTCTTTGTTTTCCTTGTAGCTGCTGGGGAGCTTCACGGAGAAAGAGCGCGCCAGCATCGCACAGCAGCTCAAAGGGAAGCGAGTCTGGATTGGCATCAAGAAACTCCTTGGGCTCATCGAGATGTCGCTGCAGGTACAGGAAACTCACCAAAGCAGGGGCCATAGTAACGGCTCAGACACCACCGTGCATAAGCTGTGGTGGCTTCTGCATTTCTGGGCCCATAGAGTTAAGTCTTTCTCAGGTTAAGAGCATGTGTGTTTGTTCCTCCAGCAAGATCAGCTGACTTCCTGTTGGCTCCCTGCACACATGAACTGCATTAAGTAATTTAACAATATGGCTTTTCTAGACTTTACAAGTTTTATTGGTCTCAATGGACCAACTTCTGATTATAAAAGTTATAAATAAAGAGTTTTTTCGAGGGGCTTGTGACAGTCCAGTTATTCTTTTCCCACTGATTTTTGGGCCAGTGTACGTCACGTGATCCTGTAATACTGAGTGTTCCTACAACACAGCCCAGCCAAGAAATAGTCCACATAAACCCCTATAATGAAAGATTTTGTGTCATTTTTGCACTGCCAGCTGAACAGCTTTTATGAACATGCATGGGCAGAACACTGGTGTTCAATGTCCAATGGTTATTAACATTTTAGAACACATGGCTCTGAGGGAGGCTCATTGTTTCTTGCCACTGTCTTCGATCATGCCTTAACCCTCGACATAAAAAAGATGGATGTCGCGTCTCCACTTCCTCCCACTGTACAAAAATGAAGCCAAGATACCCTGCATACAACAGCTGCCATCTTTCGCCATTCAGAGCCTGCGCAATAGTGATCAGGGTTGGCAATCAAAGTACCGCCCATACAGCCAGCCGACTCAATCGCAAGCAGGGCTCAGCTGTCCATCATGACATGAAACCCCCTTTCTATAGCTTCAAATAACTAGTTAAAACCAAACTTAGCAGATATCAAGGCTTAAAGTTTGTATAACTAAGAAAATTCAGAAACCTATGGGTTATTTTATGCAGTCTACGGTCTGCAGTCACTGGACAACAGGTGATATGTAGCTACCATTTGTGCTCCAGTGGACGTCCAAAATGGGAGACTTCTGATGTGACTGCAAGGACCCATATTGACTTGCTGATTATTTGTTTCTGCTGTGACAGACAGTTCAATCTTTCTCTCCCTCTACTTTCTTTTACCCTCTCTAGATGGACCAGGATTACAGAGTGTCCAAGTTCCTGTCTCTGCTCAGAGACGAGGGGGCGTGAGTACAAGCGTACTGCACCAATCACATTTTCATTTCATTGCTTGTCAACATCATCCACTTAAACCCTCTTTATTTTATTCCCATCTTGAAAATGGCTCAGTAATGTCACACAAGAATACATATTGATTTTGAAGACTCCAATATTATATTTTCACACTGCACATACAGAGTATATGTGCCTATTGTCCTAACAGTGGAGAAAAGGGCTAGCAATCCTCTTCTCACTAACTTTAGACTATAACGGCTTTATTTTGCGATCACCAGGTTGAATGAAGGCGATCAAATCCGAATTTAAGCTGTCAAACGGTCTCGCTGTGCACCGGTAAGATCAACACCAAAGCAATGTTGAGATGAGACTTGTGCCTAAAGATTAGGAGTACAAAACCTGTAGCTTACTAGTTAGCAATTAGATTAGCATTTACATAGTTATTTCCCTACTGCTGTAGGAATGTTATTGCAGTAGCAGCTTAAGATAACTGTTTGAATTGTGTTTTAGTGTACAGTACATTTTACACAAAAGCATTTATGCTGAGGAGTCAAATTTTTCATTTTTCCAAATGATTTATTTTGTGTCATTCATTTCAAAGTGTAAAAGGTCCAGTGTGTAACATTGAGGAGGATCTACTGGCAGAAATGGAATATAATATTCATAAGTATGTTTTCATTAGTGTATAATCACCTGAAAATAAGAATGGTTGTGTTTTTGTTGCCTTAGAATGAGCTGTTTTTATCTACAGACGCCATGGGTTGCCTTCCATGGAGGCTGCCATGTTGAACTGCCAGGTTTATACAGTAGCCCAGAGCAGACACACCAAAAACTGATTCTATATAGAGCTGTTTGCGTTTTTCATTCATTTCATAGCCATCATAGTTTCTCCCTCATGGAAAGGGAGGATGCGAGTCAGTTGAAATCTGCAACTTTAATGCTAGATATGCCACTAACTCCTACACACTGGACCTTTGAAGCGGGACTATGTAACTTTGGTTAACAGTCGCCACTGGGGCCACAAGGGATGCTCACATGATAATGACAAATGCTGATGATGAGAGAATGAGAAAAGAGTCATCAATATAAGTTACACAGCAATATCAATGTAAAGTTAGCTAACATTAGCGACTAGGTACTGGTCGTATATGATACAGAGAACGGCAGTGTCACCAAAGCATAGAGGGTATTGAACAAATTTTCTTATAAATTCATCTTACAATTTGTAAGAGGAAAAAGTGTGTTAAGTTAAATAGTCGCGCTTAAAATGTCTTTGACCGGCCCTTTGCCCTTTCATCTTCTTCTCTTTTATTAGCAAAATTGATTTTTCCATGGCATACAATCCATTAATTACAATAATAAGCCTGCCCCTTAAATTGACATTCTCACTCATAATATTTTTTAACTTTAAAGGTCCAGTGTGTAACATTTAGGAGGCTCTATTGTCAGAAATGGAATATAACATAAAGATGTTTTCATTGGTGTATAATCACCTGAATGTAGGACTCATTGTGTTTTTGTTACTTTAGAATAAGCTATGAGAATGAGCTATCTATAGAAGGAGCGGGTCCACTTCTATGGAGGCCGTTTTTTTTGCAAGTTTCATGGTAGTTTCCCTACACATTTAACAGCTTGTTCTAATTCCCAGGTCGTCAAGCACAGACACCAGCGGTGTTCAGTTAGTTGCAATTTGCAAGTTCACCGCTAGATGCCACTAAATCCTACACACTGGTCCTTTCACTTCATTTATGTAACATGGCAAACACATTTTCATGCAGGAATTGCATCATTACTCCCCCTTCATCTTTATTTTACTGTTGCAAGCAGTTTCACAACTTATTATTGTCCATTTATAGTCATTTCTGAACCTTGCATGATTCTATGTTCTAGCATATTGTAGCTCCGGGAGCAGAACAGGCCTTTAAGTATAGGTTTTAGGAGTTGGTTGCACCAGCTAAATTTAAACTTAGTATGGTGAGTGTAAGCTAATTAAGTGTTTATTAAATGGAGATTAGCGCATTACTAAATTAAAATCCACCTCACAAACCAAACACAAGAACACAAGTTCTTTCGTGGATTAGTTAGAGCTAAATATTTTCATCCAGTAACTGCTAGGGGTAACTGTTTCATAGCTAACTAAAGTTACTGACACTAACGTTAGCTTTTTAGTGTATGACCGATTAAGAGTAAAAGAGGTAATGTGAAATAGTGTCGACACATCTGACCTGAATCTTAATAATGACTGAATGAATATGCAATTTACATACAGCTAAAAACTAGCATTAGTTGGGTTAGCAAATTCAAATATTTCCTGCTTATTCTAAAGTATGCATATGAATAAATACTATTATGACACAATGACAGTGACTTCCTGTTAACATAGCCAATTGCCTTTAATTAGATGATGCTACACATTTTTTCTAGCAACAGATTTACACTTACTTAAATCTTTACTAGCTGATGCTGCTATACATTATAAAGGGGTTATAGTAAGTACGAGTTTCCAATTTGTATCAACTTCACATTCTCATAGATAACAATAGAAAATGTTTTATGAAAGCTCTTATCCAATTTAATAATATGAGAAGTGCCTAAAAAATAATAGAGTGCTGCAGGGATTATTTATATTTGTAGGCTAACCTAGGCTTGTTAGGATTTTGGATTGTTGCAGAAAATAAGCTAAAAAGCTAATGTTATAAACGAATTACACCACGGTTGCATGACTTCAGCGTCTAAAGTGTGTTTGCAGTGACGTTTAATAGGGAGGAGTGAGTACACCATTATCTATATCTGTATCTGTTCAACCAACTTGCGACTGAAATCAGACACAGGCAGTGCTTAAACCCAAAGTTGTTAATATAAACTTGAATTGATATGGGCTGATCAGAGGTTGCTATAGTTATTAGAAAACAGAGCAATGGGCGCCTGGTTAGCTCAGCTCAGTCCTTGCTGCAGCGGCCCAGGGTTCGAATCCGACCTGCAGCCCCTTGCCGAGTGTTATCCCCACTCTCTGCCCCCCTTTCCTGTCTGTCTTCAGCTGTCACTGTAGTAAAGGCAATAAAAGCCCCAAAAATATACTTTAAAAAAAAAAGAAAACAGAGCAATGTTTTTGATTACAAGAATAGGATAAGATTACAGATGGGGTTTTTTTGTAAATAAAAGTTGCTATATGTAAGAGTTTTAATATTTTAATAGTTTGGTTCTTGTAAAAAGTACATTATCTTTACCGGATACTCGTTTGAGACGAGCACTCGCCCAACCCTAACGTTTAACGTCACGACAACGTCTGTGGTCGCATTAAGCCCCTTGTTAGCAACCGCTGTTTTTAAGACACGTAAAAGCTTCAAAATTCATGAAATTTTATGTTGTAAAACAAAACAGGAAAATCTCTCTCACCCTATTTTAGGCATTTAACAAACCCATTTTTAATTCTAGACGAGGAAACGGACTGGGTTCTTGCAGCACTTCATTAAACTCATATTTAATGAATATGGGTAATCATTAGTGCTGTCAGTTAAACGCGTTATTAAAGCAAACCCATTTTAACGGCGTCAATTTTTTTATCGCGAGATTAACGTTCTTTTTGGCCTAGCACACCTTGTAGTTTTTTTTACATGCTGTTGCAACAACTAGTAACGTTAGAAAAACTACAACACCACACCGGATCTAGCTAGACCGGAAACAAAACAACAGGCACGCCGCACACACTTAACTATGACATTAATGCGATTAATCGCGATTAAATATTTTAATCGTTTGACAGCACTAATAATCATACAACTTTCTTGACTTGTCCAACAATGTGAACACTTGCAACTTGTTAATATGTCTTTTAGAATGTCTACAATCCATATGACTTGAACATTGAATTTGACATTTTTTTTTACAGCTTTACAGGTGCACTTTCTAAGATCTTAGGAAGGACTTTACTCACAGACTAAGTACTGAATTTACAGATGGCTGGTGCAACCCTAACCTGGTCATCCCTGGTGTCAATTCCAGAGTAGGTGACTGGAGTGAAAGCCTGCAGGGCTACAATGAACCCTTTTTACCAATATTTTTAGATGGTGTGCTGGAGGATTGAGGCATGCCATGATATTAAGGCAATAAAACAAATCTATTTAACCCTCTGTACACTGAATGAAGAGTGCAGTAGTGTGAAAAGGTCCAAGAGTGATGGTTTGTTGTTGTGGCTCTCTCTTTGTTTTATAGCCTGTTAAATCCAGCTCGTCATTTTTTCTTTCACTCAAGACACCGCCCAGCGTTGTGCTGGTGTTGTGTGAGTACACTGGGGTTTGTCGAGGGTTGCTAAGAAGAACCCCCTCTGTAATAGAAAATCTGTTGGGAGGGAGTAATGCAACACAACCCACAGGAAACTGAAATCTTTTTTCTTCTGTTCCTTCCTTTTTCTAGTGACCGCAGCTTCTATGAGTAGAGGGCTTTGGAGGAATGAAGCAACCATCTCGCCACCAACAAGCCATCCACAGGACACCCACCCACGGCCCATCCATCCATCCGTCTGTCGGTCTATCTGAATACACACCTGGTCCAAGAGAGGAACAAAGGAGTCTTTTCATCTCAGCATGTCTCCACCTCACCATCCTCCTGCTCATCATCACCAACTACACGACATATCGCAGCAAACTACTGGAAGTCGTACTGTTACAAATCTGTTATCTGTAAAGAAATTGCAATAGATGATTGTAAAAAAGTGCTGTTTTGTGCATCGTGCGTAAAAATAACAACAAAAAAAGCCATGTATGTTTTTCGCTATAGTATGTGTTGTATTTGTTGCATATCTCTCGTCCTGCTAAAGGTAGTTATTGTTATTGTGATATGTATCCTCACAAACACAAAATACACCCGGAACTGACACAAACCCAGAACCCCTTTGAATATTAAGATGTGAATCTATGAGAGGCTTTTAGTGAATGTGTAGTGGCTGTAAAAAAGAAGCTGTTCCATGTGTAAATGTAAACCCTTTAAATATACAGTATGTAACTTGTTCATGTTCTGTAAATAGTATATATAGACAAAATGCAGTATATCACCAGAGTAATTTAAATGATCTGTACCAAGTCTATTTCGTACTATATCAGTATGATTCTTCTTCCCTTATTGCTCCGGAGATGTTACCAGGTTACTGTAATAGTGAAAGTAAATGTTGGATTGTTGGCCTGTCTGTCTGTGTTGCGTGCAGTACAGTTCAGTCTAGGTAGTGTAGCTACGGCATCATCAGTGTTAAAAAATAACAGAAAATATTCTGCACTTTTAACATTGACTCAAAAAGACCTTTAGTACTTATCTCAACTCGAGCTTGTGTCCGCTCGTGTGTGCATGTGTGAGGGACTAAATGCTGCATGTGTCCAGTGTGTGAGTGCGTGTGAGTGTGTGGTGGCAGGATGTGCTTCTGAATGTGAGCATGCGTGTGTTTTAAGTGTGTGTGTGCATCTGGAAATCCGGGTTTAGACATTTGGTGGTTAATTTGATTTGTGGGGTTTTTTCTCATGTCATGTGTTCAGTGCTTATTGTTAAAAGTTCTTGTTTTGTTCTGACCATTGATGATGTGTGTGTGTGTGTGTGTATGTGTGTGTGTGCGCGCGCGTGTGAGTGTAAATATATATCAACATGCAGATGTATTATTGCAATAAAAGGCACAGATGCACAGGAAAAAGAAACTTCCAGCTGCTTGTCTGGTCTCTTTTATGTATTGATCGTTGGATTTTTAGCGGCATCTAGTGGTGAAGCTACAGATTACAGTTAACTGAACACCATTCGCGTCTGTATTTGACAACCTTATTGGACGACCTTATACACTAATGAAAACATACCTATGAATATTATATAACATTTCTGCTAATAAATCCTCCTAAATGTTACACACTGGACCCTTAGTACGATTTTGTACTACTATACTACATTATAGAGGGGAATATTATACTTTTTACTACATTTGTTTGACAGCAGTTGTTACTGATGACTTTACATAATCAAGTTTTACATCCCCTCTGGACAAAAGCGGTAGTGATTCCATGGCATTGTTTCATTCATTTCAAGGGGAATCTGACTATAAGAATAACTTTACAAAAACAGCCAATCTTCTCCCTGATGGTATTGTTTGTTTATGTAGGTCATATAAAGGCATCCGTATTAAATTGGACTTCCATTCCATAACGAGTTACAAACTTGTTGTAGTATGTTTAAACCAACAATAAACAGTATAAAGTATTACATATTGGCCTCATATATATCAGCTACACCATAAAAATGGTACTTACACAAGAATCAGTTGGATCACTTGTAATATGATAGTTATATAAAATAAAGTAACACTGAGTGGTAACATTCTGCTGCATAATGAGAACTTTTGCTTTTGACACCTTAAAGCTGCAGTAGGTAACTTTTATAAAAATATTTTTTGTCATATTTGCTGAAACTTCCACTATGTTAAGTTATTCTTGATCAAGCAGCTTTTACCAGTATGTTCAAGAAACATTCCTGATTAATACTTTTTATTAGCTCTTTTGATTTAACAGTACAAATAGAAATTGCAAAATTAAGTAATTGTCCTTAAAATGACTTAAGCTACCTGATCAAGAATGTTTTTTAACCCACACAATTAAGTTAGTTTTGCTTAAAATGTTCAATGTAATTGGTTTGAACCAGTATTTAGCTTTAAGACTGAGCCATCTACAGCCTCTGAAAGACAGTGTGGAGTGGAAGGATAATGGGGTGGCAATTGGGGTGGCCAATCCGACCCCAGGCTCCCCTTCCTGCAAATTCCCCTGGCCCCTTCTAACTGGCATCTACAGTAAATGTAAGAAAATATCATAAAATTTAAAAAATCAAGTAGCCTAAAGTGTACCACTAATTTGTATTTACCGTAAGTATACTACTTTTTCTTGTTTATTTTAGTAGAATAAATAATGTGAATTTATTTGGCCGGTGGAAAAACATGTGAGATTCCCCTTTAATTGTTCCAGGCTCTCGGGATTATGCAACCCCCCGAACCCCCTCCAGCGGCAGTACTCCTCTTCGGCCGTTAGAGGGCGGTGCAGAGCCTGTTGACGAATAATTTCCCGGCGGCAGCTCCAGTTCTCCTGACCCGCATTCACCCGTACTGTACAGGCAGGGAAGAGGAGGAGGAGGAGGAGGAGGGGGGAGGACCGAGCACAGAAAGCAAACAGACGCTGTGGAGCTCTCCTGCCGACCGTGGCCATGGCTTTGGCAGTCCCCGGTAGACACAGCGCTTCCGTCTCCTCACACCTGATAGCGGACTGAGAGGGGGGGCTACCGCCGGTAGAGCCGGTGGCTAACGTTACGCCGTTTGAGACCAGCTGGCTTTTATTTGTTCTGCTTTTTCTTCCCGTGTTTACACGGCTGTTCCTCGGTCACTGGCTCTATGTTGACGGTACAGGAGGTGGTTTTGTACCACAAGTCGAGCATTGGTGAGTGTCAGTGTCAGTTTATTGCAGTTAGTGGCGTACAGTGAGAGCTCCTTTATGGGGCGGAGGTACACCGTCAGGGCTGCTGTCCTCGAGTCAACCCGGGCGCTTTAATACCGGCCTGCTTACTGTACTGTACTGTACTGTACTGTACCACTAGGTTAATGCAAGGAAGCTTGGGCAGCACACTGATATGCACCACAGTTATGTACCTCTGTGTGCCATTGGAGATAATGACCCGCACCACTGCCATGTGCTTCTCTCACTGTCGGCGTTACACTAATGGACCTGGGTCGTGAGTTCACGGTTAAAGCTGCAGTAGGTAACTTTTATTAAAAAAAAGTTCATTTTAATAGTAACTTTTTCTGTCATATTCACTGAAACTTTCACTATATTCCTGACAGTAGTACATGAGACAGATAATCTGTGGAACAAATCAGGTTCCTCTGACTCCTCCTAGAGCTCCTAGTATGAATCATGCATAGAATATGAACTATAAAATGTTGTTCCTGGCCTATAGCTGCTCCTGCAGGCTGAGACGTGGTGTAGGGTAAAAGTATAATATAATTGTGTGTGTGTGTGTGTGTGGGGGGGTTAAGGTCAAAGGTTGGGAGAAGGAATGTATTGATCATTTATTTTATTTTATTTTATTTCCAGGATGAGGACAGCATCATCTGCTTCATATGTGGACCAATCAGACGTGGTTCTATGAATTCTGGCCCAGAGCAGACGCCCTGGTTCGGGTAGGTGACCTGCACGAGGTTGAGGGTGTGTTGAGGGGTCAGACTATAGCGTTGAGGGGTCAGACTATAGCGTGAGAAATGAAAGGTGATTTCACATAAAATGTAACATGCTTACAGTAGAGGTTGTTCTGTCTCGCTGCGTGCATCAAGCATAGCTTCACGTTTCACATGACCTACTGTCACTCCGCATTTTGTGAGTGAAAAATATTTCCCCGTTTGAGGTGACGTGACATTTTTGACACGGCGTGACTCATCAGTCAGTCGAAAATCTTCAAATCCAGCCGAGAACTCCAATGTGAATGTCATGCTGTCATACTTCCAGAGAGGTAGACAAGCAGGAAAGCGCTCATGTAAACACAACTGGATGTAAAACAAGAATGAATGTGGACCCAAAATGATATTTCCCTGTAGTGTGTAGTAGTCTTGCCTACATAAAATTACACAGGAAGCACTCTCACTCGCGTTGTTGACAAGCGTTTCCCCCAGAAACCCAGTAAGGATTTAGGTGGCCAGCAGTTTTTATTAGTTTTCAGCAACCTTTCAAAGATTTATTAGTCTTTGAGTCCTTCCCTCAGACTAGTTTTCTTGGAGGAAACGAAATACGTCTGAATGGGCGTTATTTTTTTAAAGCAGCTTTACAAGCAATGTCACAATACTAAATAATGCTAAAAATGCAGTTAATATGTATTTGGCAGGTATATGCTGCCTGTCAGGATTCCGCTCACATCACAGAAAACAGAAACAATATATATTGCTATTACATGTAGTAGTCCTCTGAAAGCAATCACAATGTAAATGCTCCTGGAATCAATCACAACCATAGAAAGCCCATGTAAAAATGCATGTGTGCATACAAAGCCATAATCTCTGCCTGCAGCCAGACGTGACCTCTTTTGACGTCCCAACAGCCCCCCCTCCTCTCCATAGCATGGTGCTGTAAGGCAGCGTCCTGGTTTCCTGACGTTAAGGCTTAATGTATGGCCAGTGCGGGGAAGGCAGGAGGGTAGGGTGAGGAAGGGGGAGGAGGAGAGACAGGAAAGAAAACCAGTCTCTCTCTCTCTCTCTCTCTCTCTCTCTATCTCTATCTCTCTTTCGCTCCCTGTGCCTGCCTCAGTCTGAGGGAAAATCGGTTACATAACAGGCACTGTGGAGGCAGCCACTGCCCCAGTCCCTGAGGTTCCACGGCCCACTTACATCACAGAGGTGTAGACAGAGGGGGGAGGGGTTTACAGTCAGCTATCCAGTTGGTTTTATAGCCTAGTTTAATTTTTTTTGTATTGTTAGTAAAGTTTTGTAGATAATAACAAATAGCATTTATCAATATATAGTATATTTCTTACTTCTAATTACTTATTAAAGCTGCAGGTAATTATTATAGAACTTTTTGTCATATTTGCTGAAACTTTCCCTATATCCTGACAGTAGAACATGAGACAGATAATCTGTGAACAAAAATCAGGTTCCTCTGGCTCCTCCTAGTGCTCCTAATGGTATTTGCAAGAATCCACTGAGCTTGAACGAAAACAATCAGATGGAAAGACGCTTTGGGTTGGAGACTTGAAGATATTTGAATGTTGAGACTTATTCCCAGTGTCACAAAGCGTCCGTATTTGACAACCTACAAATGAGACTCAACAATCAACTATCTCTCTCAGGTCTCATTGGTTGCTTTCGTCCAGGCCCGGAGGATTCTTGCAAATAGGAACAGTAGGAGGAGCCAGAGGAACCTGATTTTTTCACATAACAGGGCATTTTTCACTCTTGGTTGACAGACCACAGTTGGCAAGTGTGCTGATCAACTTGACATGATTATTATGATTATTATGTGAAATTTTTTATGATGTCAGACCCCTAAGTATGAATCCAATACTAGTACTTGAATGGCATACTGTTTACTGGGAAGTATTCCAGTATGCAAGCATAGTGGTAGTGACACCGTTGGGTACTGGTACTGAATTCCAGGTCCCAGTACGGTATCGGTTCAAATGTGAACGCTACCCAACCCTATTCGCAATGTCATCTGTATTGGCCGATAAAGCCTTCAGTGTTTCCTCTATGTTGATTTCAGAGCTGCGGCCCGCCACTGTTAAATGTTCGGACAGGCCTGCCCCCACTGCTAAAAAAAAAAATCCTAGAGGAAACACTGGCCTTTAATATGAAACATCAGCAATTTCTTCATATGACAGGCCGATAAGAGGAAATTAAATGACCCTGTTACTGTTACTATCTTGTAAAGTTTATAAAATGGATTGCAAACTTGCTGTTTGCAATGACTGCTCAGCATTGGTCATTCCATCACTACAGATTTAATTACCCGTCCTATGAGCTGTCATCCCGATAATTACGGCCAGTTTGTGACAACAAACAAATAAACAAAACAGCCACCAGTGATAAACACCTGTCAGCAGCGTCTTTACCAGTCCATAAACAAAGCTAAAAAATATGATTTTTTTACATTGTTTTGCAACTTGACAAAAAGTCAGATTTACCCTGGTTGTTTTGAGCTCTAACTCTCTAAAGAATTAGCTGCTTTTCTCTGTTTTTTATATCGATCTAAATTGAATATCTTTGGGTTCCGGGCTCTTGGTTGGACACAACAAGACATTTATTTTCCCCTGTTTCCTGAAATTTTGTAGACTAACCAATCAAGGAATCCGAAAAGTAACCTACAGATGAACGACTAATGACAGTGTTCCTTAGTGGCAGGCCTATGTGCAACCAGGTAAATGAGAAGGAAGTAGAGGCAGAAAACTGAGAGACTACTGATTGAAGTTACCACCTGGTGGATGTACATACTGTACATACTGCTTGACTGAGCACAATCTAAAACAGGCTGTACAGCTCACAAACACAGGGTATTATTAAGCCTTGGGGCTCCTCCTCGTTGCTAGTTTCTTTGGAATGTTCTGTCCTTTTCAGTCAAGGCAGAGACATCTTTATGTAAGGCAGCCTCTATTCAATTAGTGTTGAAGATCTATCCCACACAAAATCAGCCAGCCAAAGACAATCCTCCCTCCATCTGACAGGAAATGACACAAAGAAGGTCTTTAATCAGGCTTGAGAATCACCAGAAGTCTCTTGACATGTCAGTTTAGGACCCTGACATAGTGCCTTTATTGAGTTTGAGTTAATGTTGTGTGTGATTTAAAGGAATATGTCCTCAAAACATTAGTTTTGACAAAGCAGGACACATTAACAATTGGAAACAGATATGGAAAGAGTTTGTAGATAATTTTTTTTGCAGTGTCTTGTTAATGCATGTGTTTGGAGACATTGAACCCATTAAGGAGATATTAATCAGAAAACTATTCTTTATTATTACTGTAGAGTCTGTTTTGTATTTCCTCACTGATTTCCACCATTGTTGTTGCTGTTATGTTTCTGCCCACCTTGACAGCCACAACCAGTTCACCAATGGAACATGATGCACTAAAATATTCCCATTGATTATAATCAACGTTATCTTATTATTATATCTTATCATTTGACCACAAACATAGAAATTCACATTCACTGTGTTAAAATGTGTATGCCTTTGCTAAATGGGAAAAAAAGGTTTTATTTCTAATATGTACAAGTATGTTGTTGAAAGCAGTTGAATTAAATATATTTATATTGTTATAAGTACTGAAAAAATGTTACAACAATACTGAGCTGTATATAAAGTAAGAGACATACTGTAAATGTAAAGAAGGTATCCAGCATGGAATCCATTGTGTCCATCAGCAATGTGGGATAAAGGCAGGATAATATAAGAGGGGATTTAAACAGAGGCTATTATCTTGAAGACAGGCCAAGGACGTTTGGATATTAAAGTCTGGAACAAAGCAGAGTAGACTGGAATTTGTCTTTGAAAACATGAACCCTGCTATATGCATTGGATCTGTCTGTCTCTTTTAATTAATGTAATTGTTTTTTTGGCTACTGAGGGGCAGTGCTAATGGCTAAAGTTGATATAGCATAAACATAATAGCAAGAAGTTGCTTATTCACACATTTAGCAGACACAGTACAAAATAAATATCCAGAAAAATATCCATCTCTTTTAAGCCACTGAGTGTTTCACTAGCTAGTCAGCCACACTTTGTCGGCTGTTTGTTGCTGGCCAGGTAAAGTATGGTTTGTTCATTTTTGCTAAAAAAAAACAAACAACTGGAAGCAGTTGCTGAACTCGTGTTTGATGACAGTAGTGGATGTCAACTACAACGTTAATGGTCCCGTTTGTAGGATTTAGGGGCATCCAGCAGTGTAATTGCAGATTGCAACCCCCTCGCTTCCCCCTCCCCTTCCTAGCCAAAGTAGCAATGATGGTGGCCCCTATCTAGAGCCAGTGTTTGGTTTGTCCATTCTGGGCTACTATAGAAACATGGCGGTTGAATATGATGTATTCCATGGAAAGCGACCCACAGCGTCTGTAGATATAACCGGCGCATTCTAAGGTAACAAAAACACAGCTATTGGCCCTGAAAGCCCACATTACTCCTGTTCTCGCATTGGATTCTGGTAAAATTCAGAATCAACTATAAGATCTTACTGATAACATACAGTCATGGATGAAAGTATTGGCACCCCTGGAACTTTTCCAGAAAATGCACCATTTCTCCCAGAAGTGTTGCAATTACAAATGTTTTGGTATACACATGTTTATTTCCTTTGAGTGCATTGGGACAACACAAAAAAGCAGAAGAAAAAAGCCAAATTTGACATCATTTTACACAAAACTCCAAAAATCGACTGGACAAAATCATTGGCACCCTATTAAAACTGTGGGTAAATAATTTAATTTCAAGCATATGATCTTTGTTTAAACTCACCTGTGGCAAGTAACAGGTGCTGGCAATATAGAAATTGAAACTGAAGCCAGTTTGAGTGTATAAAAGTTGACTCAACCTTTGTGTTGTGTGCCTGTGTGTGCCACAGCAAGCATGAAGAAGAGAAAGAAGAGCCGAGAATTGTCTGAGTACTTAAGAAGCAAAATTGTGGAAAAATATCAACAATCTC